TGTATGGTTGTTTGTGATGGACTTGAATTACTTACGAGATATGCCGTAGAGTGTAAATGTCAATCGAACCCCGTGGTGGGGGGGGGGGGGGGGTTGGTAAGATGGGTCCGAGAAAAATAGTCCAAAGGACTCCCAAACCCCAATGTTTGGATTGAATATTCAATCCCAGGTACTCAAACTCGGTCTGTAACTGATCCGAATATTAAACTTAATGATTATGAATTTTATCAAATTTTATGAGAGGGTTGGGTTTAGAAAGATGGTTTAAGAGGTTAAGGATATAAAAGATAATTGTACTCCTTAATATATATGAATTGAATTGATCAAGAGTAAAATAATCATTTAAAAGATAAATAGTTGTTAATAATTATGATATATCCGTGAATCCTACATATGTAAGTATTGCATACCAAATATAAATATAGACTAAATTTAATATTAAATCTCATCTTTATAAGGATTTCAATTTGAAAAATCTAATCCAATTCTTTCCAAAAAATCCATGCAAGCAATGCCTCGTAGATAAAAGTAACTTTTGTTGCAGTGACGCATGCAGCCAAAAAACCCTGCTCCCTAAATGATTGAGGGTTTTTTTGCGGTGTAAATAATAATTTTTTATTAAAATTGAAAGAGAAGGTGATTCAAATACAGAGACATCAAACCATTCCCAAATACAGAGACATCAAACCATTCCCTTAGGTATATTAATATTTTTTATTTATCCCTTTCTTTTTTTATTTTATACCTTTAGAGGTTTTATAAACAATTATAAAAAAATTTGGGTGATAAAAAATAAATTTTTTGAATAAAATTTAAAAATAGTGGTTAATTATTGAGGAGTTAAAGGGTAGTTACAACTTAGAAAGACACATAATAGCATTTGATTGAAGAGAGTTTTAGGTTTTGAATTAAAAAATTTTAAATTATAAAAAATTAAAAAAATGAGGAAGAATTGCTTCTTAAACACCCCCACCCCTTAAATTGTTTGTTTTATTTAAATAGATGTGAAAACACAGCGCTATCAACAAGTAGTAGTCTGTAGACAGCATCACCTCTAAATGAGAAGAAGAAGAAGATGCCCTTGGAATGCATGAGAGATTAATACACTGCTTCGTGTCTGCTTTGTATCCACACAAAGACATGGGTTTATTGTCAGGCACTTCGAAGACTTAGCTGACTCCTCGCTTTAGAAATGTCAAAGGTGCACAGTTAATAAATTCTGAGATCTTTTTTCCATCGCACAGAACTAAACTTGGACTAGGAGGTTGGAACTGACCTGGACAAATGTAGAGTCCAAAGTTCTGACGTGATTTGACAGAATCTCCATGACGGGTTAGAGCTTGGACTCCTCGTATTTAGTCTTACACGATTGTCGTTATTGATTTACCTTTTGGTGCGAGAGCGCCATCCTGATTTGTTTCTTGCTCCACGCCGTGTGGANCATGATTATCCATACAAAATCGAGGTGAGCAAAAGGGTAATTGATGTGACAGTATAACTCGAAGAAGCAGTTATGGAGAGGAGACAACCCTAGGGTGCCAAATCAGGATGTATTATTCAACGTATGAGAAAGCAAAAGCATATGAGAAGAACTCATACACAAAGGATATTCATGTTATCAAACAGATGAGCATCGTGATAAGAAACAAATCTCTATACAAAAAACATGGCTAAATCGCAATTGGATGGGGAGGACTTCTTGACAGATAAGATCCTATTGGGCGTATTCTTGTTGTGTATAATTCTACTTTGCAATTAACCAAACCTACTGTAGCCAGAGTGTGTGTAGAGATGAATCTTTTTAGCAAATAACCCTAAGAGGTTCTGGTTGGACATATGGGGGGTCAAGTGGAAGATGGCAGCGTATTGTTTATGAGAAAGATTGTAAGTATTGCACAGTTTGCTTGAAGCAAGGGCATGATGATTCGCTATGCAGAAAAAGGGTGAAGGAAGGGGATAGTGTGAGTGGGTAATGTGGAGGTTTCTCTAAAAAGTAGTGACAAGGAGAAAGGAAAGATGTCAATATATGGTGCTGGGCAAGAGAGTACCAAAATTTGTTAAAGGTAAGTGGCATTGCAAGAGGAAAATGTTCATAAACAGGCTGAGGGGTTTAAGCTGAAAATTGTGGCACAAGGTAACAAGTTTGAGTTGTTAAATTCAATTGCGGAGTATGGATTTTCAGCTGCTCATATTTTTAGAGAAGCAAATACTGTAGCTGACAGGTTGGCTAATTATGCAGTGCAGTCTGGNATTGTGGCACAAGGTAACAAGTTTGAGTTGTTGAATTCAATTGCGGAGTATGGATTTTCAGCTGCTCATATTTTTAGAGAAGCAAATACTGTAGCTGACAGGTTGGCTAATTATGCAGTGCAGTCTGGTGTGTCTGAAGATTTTTCTGTGAATCTGCGATTGCCTAGTGAGGTGAGATTGGCTCTTCTCCAAGATCTCAATGGTTTGCCTGTGCTGCGAAGGAAAAGGACCGTGTTCCTGTGAGTTTTAAACGTGGGAGCTGAAAGTAAGTGTTGATTTGTTTGAAATTGAAGAATAGGATGAAAGAGGTGGCTGTTAGTAATGCTAGTTTATGGCGTGAAGGTTTTTTTGGGTTTGGATTTGCTTGTTGCTAGGTATGGAGAGATTTTGTCTTTTCTTTGCTACTTCAAAATTTTGGATGTGAATAAATAAAATTTCTCTTTTTTCTTAAAAAAAATTTCTGTTTTTTCTTTTACAGATTACTATTTCTACTTCTTTTTATATTTATTTCTTGTTACGATCATTCTTCTATTATTTTCAACNTGTTTTTTCTTTTACAGATTACTATTTCTACTTCTTTTTATATTTATTTCTTGTTACGATCATTCTTCTATTATTTTCAACTCCCAACATTCTCAATAATCCACAGTTTCCTTATTATTTTTTGTTGTTATTTTAGTGTTTTTCACAACCTATTCTTGCATAGTATTTTTTTGATTATTTGTGTTTTGTTTCCTCTTCTATTAGATAAATTATGTTTTATTATCTTTCTATTAAAATTGTTATATGTTGGAAACAAAATTATATTATTTGGGGACAGAGGAAAAACTTAAAGGATGAAGGAAAATTGTTAAATGTCTGCAGATTTTTTTTTTATCACAAAGTTGTCCCCTCTCTCTCTCTATTTCCAAAAATTGCGAAAATTCCAAAGAATCAATATCGAACCANTGAGTTTTGGCAATCCAATGAATTCTTCCTAAAGTTTAAATTTTTTGGGATTCAATCAAGAACGTTTTGGTTTACTCCCAGAAGAAGTTTATGCTGATAAAAACATTCTTTAAGTAATTGTTTTCGTTAGGCATTTGTGAGCCTTTTTCTTCAGAATTTCATTTTTCAAATTGCATTTACTTTATATTTATGTTTTAGGGGTAAGGTCTACATTCCCGGTGCTTTATAATTTTGATTATTAATAAAAATAGTCCTATGTGTCCTAGAGAAAACTTGAAGAGAGAGAGAAAGAAAGAAATAATTTGCTGAAATTCTTCTATAATTAATTGTGATCCACCCCAATGTTTATATAGATATGATAGAGAGAAGAGCAACAACCTCTACCACTTTGGTGATCAAGTCCTCCCAAATTGCTATGAACTAATCATAGTCTAATTACCATTTTCACCACCTATCCAATTTAGATAATCCGAATCCAATTCAACTAACCCATGTCTATGTGGATGCACCCATGGGTCAATCCATGCTACACAGGTTGAAATCAGATTAGCTCAACTCCGTGAAGAAGTAGTTTGATGGTCCAGACTCCAGAGTAGGAAAGCATAGCATGTCAATGAGTTTATAGTCCATCCCCGTTAGACACGGTTGTGTTAATGAATAAGAGGATCCAGACATCGTCGTGTTCACATTGGACCTCATTTTCAAATTTCCTTTGAGCCTTGTGACTTGCGATGTAAATGTAGTCAAAGGAAAGGGACCTCTGTCTCTCTCAGTGGCCGAATTGTTTCTCTCTCCTTATTGGCACTGAATGACTCGACGTTGGCCTGGAAATTTCATTTCCTTCACTGTCATATTCAATATTCTGGAAGATTGAAGAGCTTGTTTGGTTTTTTAAGGGTGAAAGATAATTTGTGACATTTTTAAACTTTTAAAGATCGATTGAGATTTAATTTATAGACTTAATTCATTATGATTCTTAAATTAAATGTTGGGCCCATTAAATATTAGAACTTAATGTTAGTCTAATATGATTTTTTAAGTTCAAATAACAATACTCTTTTATTTTCACGTCGATATCACGTGATTAGCTTTTTAATGACGTTATTCATTTTTTCAGAGTACATATAGGATTTTCCCAATAGCATGTAGAATAATCTAGTTCATAGAGTATTTCAATAGCATTATCTTTAAGAGTGATGCTATTCAGATTTAAAATTTTGACTTTATTTACTGACATGATAATGTGAGTTTCATTGAAATCATAGGATGAAGAGCAAGTTTCAACGTTTGATATGACCCTCAGTTAATTCAAAAGGTTACGGTGAATCATGTTAGCAAATAAAATAAAATTTTTAAGTTTAAATAGTATTCTTTTAGCGGTTAATTTTTGTTTTTTTTTTCTCCCGGTCCGTTACACTTTTTGACGTGGAAAGATGAAGAGGAATCGTCCTCCTCTTTCTCTTTCTCGTGTATATATATAGTCATCTACTCCACTATAATGCACAACGTTCATGCAAATAAAACTAGTGATGACTATCAATTCCTTTCAACATCTTTCTCTTCTTTTATTCTGTGTCTTTTCTCTCTCTCTTTCCCTTGAAGCCCATAGATTCAATTCCAATGTGGTTTGCACAGAGATGGAAAGGAAAGCACTTCTTAAATTCAAAGAACATCTTAAAGATCCTTCCGATCGACTTTCTTCCTGGGTTGGTGAAGATTATTGTAGATGGATGGGCATAGGCTGCAGCAACCGAACAGGCAATGTTGTACAACTTGACCTCAAAAACTATGACTGTTACATGGAAAGCAGAAGTGACGCAGAGGCTTATATTTCATCTTGTTTGGGTGGTGAGATAAGTACTTCTTTGCTCGACTTAAAATATCTGAAGTATTTAGACCTGAGCATGAATAATTTTCAAGGAATTCCAATCCCAGGCTTCTTGGGTTCACTTGAGAAGTTGAGATACCTTAATCTCTCTTATGCGTCTTTTGGTGAAATGATCCCTCCTCATCTCGGAAATCTTTCAAGCCTGCATTATCTTGATCTTTACTCCGATCCATTCTTTAGTCAGAGTCTTAAAACCATTTGGGTCCGAGATTTTAACTGGCTCTCTAGCTTATCTTCTTTGGAATACCTTAATCTCGGTTTTGTTAACCTTAGTTCAGCAAGAACTGATTGGCTGGAAGCCCTTAATATGCTTCCTTTTCTTTCAGAGTTACACTTGCAAGGTTGTAACCTTCAACACTTGCCTGTCTCTCTACAAAGTTTGAATTTTACCTCCCTTTCGGTCATTGATCTCTCTTACAACCATTTCAACTCGTCATTACCCCAATGGTTGAATAACATTAGTACCCTTGTTGAACTAAATCTTGGCAATTGTCATATGAAAGGTCCAATTTTCAACATTGCATGGAGAAATCTATGTAATGTTCGGACTTTAGCTTTAAATGGGAATGAGATTAGTGGTGAGATAAGTGAATTGGTCGAGGGTTTATCTCCATGCAATAACGGTAGCATACAGGAGGTACACTTAAATTTCAATCAACTAACTGGGAAGTTGCCAGCTACATTGGGACACCTCAAGAATCTAAAATCCCTGCGAATTGATGACAACTTACTCACAGGGCCAATTCCAGCATCAATTGAAAGGTTGTCCAATTTGACGGAATTGGACCTCTCTTACAATAAGATGAATGGGTCCATCCCTCAAGCTATCGGGAAGCTTACAAAATTAACTATTTTGCAACTTTGCCAGAACAATTGGGAGGGACTCATATCTGAAAATATTTTCNCCTCAAGCTATCGGGAAGCTTACAAAATTAACTATTTTGCAACTTTGCCAGAACAATTGGGAGGGACTCATATCTGAAAATATTTTCCAGGGCCTTGCAAAACTGCAAGAATTCTCCATATCATCTTCGAACACAACATTTGTCTTCAACGTGAGCAGTGAATGGGTTCCTCCCTTTAGCTTAGCAACAATTGAAATCAGAAACTGTCGATTGGGTCCAAAATTTCCAATATGGCTTAGAACTCAGAAACAACTTTCTAATATAATCCTCACTGGTGTTGCCATTTCAGACCCGATTCCTTCTTGGCTTTGGAAAATGTCTCCGCAGATCCAATGGTTAGATCTCTCTAATAACCAAATTGGAGGAATACTTCCCAGTTCACTCGAGTTCTCCCCAGGAACATGGATAGATTTGAGCATGAACCGCTTAGAGGGTCCACTCCCACTGTGGCCTAACGTGTGGTATCTCATCTTGTGGAACAACTTACTCTCAGGACCTATCCCAAAGAACATTGGCCAAGTAATGGCATCACTGCAATATTTTCTCCTTTCCGGGAATTTTCTTAATGGTAGCATCCCTTTGTCTGTTGGTAAGATGAAGAATTTAAATCGACTTGATTTATCAGACAATGATTTATCTGGAAGAATCCATGACAACTGGAGAGATTTGCAAGAACTCCAAAACATAGATTTATCCAGGAACAATCTATCTGGTAACATTCCCAGGTCAATGTGTTCACTGCCTTCTCTTTCTGTCTTGAAATTGGGTGACAATAGTCTTTCTGGGGAACTCTCTCCTTCATTGAAAAACAGCATTTCCCTGACCTTGATTGATATTGGAGAGAATAGATTTACTGGGAACGTACCAAAATGGATTGGAGAAAGCCTTCCATTGCTGTCGGAGTTACGCATGCGGGACAACATGTTCACCGGAAATATTCCTGAGCAACTATGTTCTCTTTCGCATTTACATGTCTTGGACCTTGCTCTTAATAATTTATCGGGTACCATACCACCATGCCTCGGAAATTTGAGTGACTTGAGTTCATCGACATCTTATAGTCCACAAATTCCACCGGGGCATTACTTCTATACACCTGAGTTGGATTTGTTTCTGAAGGGAAGACAAATGCAATATACCTCCACTCTTGAGCTTGTAAATGTCATCGACCTCTCGAGCAACAGCCTATGGGGAGAGATTCCAGAAGATATAACAAAGCTTTCCACCCTGGGAACCTTAAATTTATCCAGGAATGAATTGACAGGAAAGATACCAGAGACGATTGCAGGCTTAAAGAAATTGGAAACTCTTGATCTCTCATGCAACCATCTTTCAGGTCCAATTCCTCCAAGCATGTCCTCTATCACCACATTAAACCATTTGAACTTGTCTCACAACAATTTGTGTGGTCCAATTCCTTCGACCAACCAGTTTCTAACCTTCAATGATCCAGCCATTTATGAGGGTAATCCAGGACTTTGTGGAGGTCCTTTATCAACCAAGTGTCTCACGCCCAATGGAGGGGATGGTGAAGGCCAAGGTCAACCCAAAGATAACGACAATGACGATGAAAATGAAGACGAGTTTGAGATGCTGTGGTTGTGGGTTAGTGTGGCATTGGGATTTGTTTCAGGATTTTGGGCTGTTTGTGGTAGTTTGGTGATAAAGAAGTCGTGGAGACATGCCTACTTCAGATTTTTAGATGGTGTGAAAGATTGGCTCTTTGTGGTCGTTGCGCTGAATGTGGCTCGTCTACGAAGAATGATGGGGAGCCATAAGAGTCCTGCACCTGCATAGATAGGTAAACAAAAGCAGTATTTTTTTAACTCTATTATTATTTTGGCCATTTTTTTTAATTTATTTCCTAATTTACCATTTTTTACCTGAAAATGTAGATTAACCCCGCACTTTCAATATAATTTATAAAAACATGCATGTTTACAAAACCATTTTCAATATTTTCTATAGAAAGCATAAAACTTCACTTTGATGCAATCAAGGGTAAATAGAAAATCATCTAAAACCCAAAGGAAAATAAAGTTGAAAAATGAGAGAAACATAAATTAATTGATTCTGAATGACTATCTATCTCCTGCTAAAAGTGAATATCTGTCTAATCAATCATTTATGTTTGTGTTTTTGCGTATCATGATCATTGTAGGGAACAGTCTGTGACTCGTTCAAAGGCAAGGTTTGACAGAAGACGAGATCTTGAACATAGAGGGCCAATGTTATGTAGTTGAAAGGGTAGTTGTACTCTCCTTTTTGTCTAGTATATGGTATTTTGATCTAATTCGATATAGCTATTGGAACAACAAGTTCTAATGTTGGATGAAATTCACAGTCAATCCAAAAACTGGAATGAATTAGGTTGACAAATTAAGTCTAAATATAGCATTATTCGTTTAGTATGAATGTATAACATTGTCCAAAAACTTTTTTTCTTCTTTCTTTTTAGGTTAGTATGGCGTAGTATTGAGTATAATTTGTGAAAAACAGAAAGAGCATTTGAGTATCTTGCTGTAAGTTGTAACATGCATGATATCTTCCAAATATCATATAGCCCTCTCCAGAAAACAGGTGCATATTCACAGACTTAATAGAAAGAGGTAAAATAAAAACTCTTTGATTTCATAAAGAAAATCTGTGAAGTAAACTCAACTTTGGACCAGACTAGCAAAGCAGCTCCATCTAGTAACACAGTCATCTGTCCAATCTCTTTCAGTCGGTCTTTCCTCTTTCAATTGCTAGGACTGACTCTAAGGGGGCTTTTCCTAAGGGACATCGGTCAATCATAACATTTTGAATTGTTTCTAATATTTTTAGGATCAGTCCTATCATTTCAGGATTGATTCAAACCATTTTTTGTCGATCATTTGACTACATTCATTAGTAATTTAACTCAAATGAATTATAAATAATCTTTATTTTGTTGTAATCTTTGTACCATACCTTATTCGATATCGTAATCGCACCGTTACAAATATTATGAGATATTAAAACATATCAGATCATCCTCAATTAATACCATCAAATAATATGTAAAACTACTTAATGGTATCAACAAACCTAACATGGTCATATTGGTGATAATTAACGGAGGTCTAATGAATAAAGATAAGCCAAACTCCTTTCTCATTTGCCCTTTCATTCACAAGGTAGTTTAGCATGAATACAAATATTTAGCATATTTTTATATGAATTGTGAAAATTAAATTCGTTCAATATATATTTGGATTTAATCAAATCTTTTAAATAGGATTTGAATTTGGATCAGTCCAAACCCAAAATCCACTCTGTTGATAAGCCTACAAAACCAAGGAGTTAGATAAATACACTGCATGATTTCAACCCTTGAAGAAAAAACACTAGTGTCCCTATTAGGAGTTGTCACTTATATTTGTCAAAAAGTAGATGTAGCATATATAGTAGATATATTAAGGAAGAACTAACTTAGTTAATTTGAACATATTTGTAGACAACCTATTACGAAGAAAGAGTGATGTGATAGTTGTTGATGGTCAACGTAGAGGGAGAGGAAAATCAAAATTAACTTTGAATAAAATAATAAAGAAAGATATGATAATTTATGGTATGACACAAAATATGACCATCAATGAAATACAACGGCGACATATGATCTATGTAGTCGATTAAAAAATAAAAAAAATGTTCTACCTACACCTCAAGCGAATCAACCCAAACAAAATAAGAATGCAAGTGTTGAATAAAAAATATTTACTCACAAGTAAAAGCACAGGGGACTCATTCTAACCCAATCACCTCAAAACTAGCATAACACAAAGATAGAGACAAANGTTGAATAAAGAATATTTACTCACAAGTAAAAGCACAGGGGACTCATTCTAACCCAATCACCTCAAAACTAGCATAACACAAAGATAGAGACAAAATCAAATGCGTTCAATAGAATATTACTAAACCTATGCATCAGAGTGCACAATTTTTTTTTTTATNAAATCAAATGCGTTCAATAGAATATTACTAAACCTATGCATCAGAGTGCACAATTTTATTTTATTTTTATCACAAGGTTGTCCTCTTTCTCTCTCTCTCTTTTAGTTTTCAAAAAATTGCGAAAATTCCAAAGAATCAATATCGAACCANATTTTTATCACAAGGTTGTCCTCTTTCTCTCTCTCTCTTTTAGTTTTCAAAAAATTGCGAAAATTCCAAAGAATCAATATCGAACCACAAAAATTCAGTATCACCGTTGCTCAATTCTGACTTCGCTTGTCCCTAGCTAATTACACTCATAATTCCTATAGCAATCCAATTCCGAAAAACACCTCCAATGCCTCCAAGGGCTAGATAGATAGCTCAACACTAAAATTCATAGAAATAAAGGATTTCTAAATACATTAACTCACTGCAACCAGGGAATCATTCATACCATAATAATGCATCAAATAGAGAGGAGGGAGTACCTGATTCAACCGGTGGGAAGTTTTCGCGAATTGTTTATGAATTTTTTTTCCAATTAGCGAATTTAATCGATGTGTGTATGTGCGAAGTGAGTGTCGCTGAAGACATCCAGAATCTTGTGGCTTCGTTGGGAGAACTAGTTATGGCGGAGAAGAGTGTCAACTTTTAAACGTCTGTCANGACATCCAGAATCTTGTGGCTTCGTTGGGAGAACTAGTTATGGCGGAGAAGAGTGTCAACTTTTAAACGTCTGTCATGACATGTCTCCTTCAGCTTTGCTTCCCCATAGTTAGATTCACTTCAAGGTCTCCTTCAAACTTTTGGGCCAGTCCAATGAAGCTGGTGATGTTCGATGGCCCCTTTTCAACGAGATGGGCTGAACCAAGGTCAGGTCACTATTAAATATTTTTAGGGTTATTTGAAAGTCATAATATCAAATTACACATAATTATAAAAAAATATATAAAATAAAATATTTTAAAAAAAAGTACACATTTGAGATAAAAAGACTTAAATGCCCATTTTATAAAATTTTACTCCGTCTGTTTTTAAATATATGTCGTTTTACACAATTTTTTTTGTTCCACAATATCTGTCGTTTAATAAAATCAAAACATAATTAATATTTTTTTTTTCAAATTTACCCTTATCTATGTTTTCCAATAAGTGCTTAATAGATTAAGTGTAGACTAAGTGTCTTTCATATTCCTTTCCTTCTCAATATGTTTTGAATAAGAGTATTTTAGTTTTGTGCAATTATTTTTTACTCATATTAGAACTATTTAATAATTTTCTTAATTCCTGTGCAAAAACCTTAAACGATAGATATTTAGAAACAGAGGAAGTATTTCCTAAAAACTTTAACAAGACATTTATTAAGTTCTGAAATTTATGGTCATTTAATTCAAAATCTCTTATTTTTAATGCACATTGATTCATAAGTATTTTTTTTTTTGGAAAGTGATTTTATTTTCAAATTATATTTATGCATTAAATATTTACTACTACTAATTTTATAGGAGAATTTTAATATTTCGTTTATTTTAGAATATATCACTTGTTTGAATTTCAAAATTTGTTAATATTCGAACTCCATAATACCATAACAAAAACAATATACTCTCTCCGTTCCTAAATATCTATCATTTAAGGTTTTTGCATATAGATTAAGGAAGTTATTAAATAACTCTAATATGAGTAAAAAATAATTACATAAGACTAAAATACTCTTATTCAATTCGTATTAGGAAGGAAAGGAATATGAAAGACATTTACCCTCCACCAAATCTAATGCATTGAAAAGTTAAGAGTAAATTTGGAAGAAAAAATATTAATTATGCTTTGGTTTCATTATACGACAGATATTATGGAACAAAAAAAATTGTGTAAAACAACAGATATTTAGGAACGAAAGGAGCAACAAATACACTGTAACAAAAACAGTATTCAGTAGTTTTGTGCATGTGATAACAAATTCAAAACAAAGACGAACTATTTTGAATGAAATTATATGAAAATATATGTTTGACAAAATGTAATAGAACAATATTTTGTTTAAAGAGTTTGTTATACTATTACACTGTTTGGATATTAATATAATTTGAAAACAAAACTTTTTTTCAAAAAAAAAAAAACGCATGAATCAAAGTACATTAAATATAATTTGAAAACAAAATTACTTTTCAAAAAAAATACTCATGAATCAAGGGAGGACATAGAAATATGGAATATTAAAGTTCTCCCATAAAATTAAGAGATGTTTAATGTACCACTTTCTAAAGAAAATATATATGAATCAATGGAGGACAAAAATGTTACAAAAAAATCAATAAAATTCAAATAATGTAGTTAGATACAAATAAGTATTAAAAGTAAGANAATGTAGTTAGATACAAATAAATATTTAATTATCCAATATTTTTTTCTATATATTTTTTTACAATTAAGTCCAACTTGGTGTACTCCCTTCCAATTTTCCCATATTTTTAGCAATTCCAATAGGGGCTCCGTTCTAGTATGAAAATAGTCTCTATAGTCAAAGCATTTAGTAAAACTTACATGGGTCCTCTGTTCATTTATTAATTATAGAGTGGAAAGTGAGTTTGATTTTTCAAACGTAGAGAGTTAAATTTGACACTTTATTTTAACTAGTTTAAGTAGAGAGTCTATTGACTATAAATTTTTAGTGATTAATATTTTAAAATAGAGAATTGAGTGAAAATAAAAAACCTATTAAGGATATTTTTAGATCCAAATGCTTTTTCTTGTTTTTCATAGGACTGCAAATGNAAACCTATTAAGGATATTTTTAGATCCAAATGCTTTTTCTTGTTTTTCATAGGACTGCAAATGGATCATATCTAGCCCAATATAAATTGTTTGGGCTTGATTATTTTGTTCTTCAAGAATTTTTGAATTTGACTTAAGATTCTAAAAAATTTTAAACATCTTATTAAACTTTGACTAATTTGTTCTTTCTAAGCTCAAACTTGGGGTAAGCTTAAGCTTGAATTATGGCACGTGTTCAAAAGTAAGTCTAGCTCATTTTTATATGTTTATAATAAGTATACACACATATCTATATATAATTATTTATCTTTATTTAGGACATATTTATCGATATCATATTATGTTTATATATACTTATAAATGAACTAAACAAAGCAAAGAAAGTCGTTGTTTAAGCTCAACTCATTAATTAGACAAGTTGTAAAATTGAACTTGATTTCGATTTGTTTCACAAATAAACAAACTTAAACGGGCTTTAATCTTGACTGTTCCTTAATAAGTTGGTTAATCTGCAACTCTAATTTATGTTTACAGTTGATCGTTGGTTAAAAATATGTATAGCAAAAATAATACAATGCACAATCACACATCATTGTAAAAATTTTGGGAGAATTACGCGTACACAATCTCATCTCACGTGTGGAAAAAATGTAACTCAAAACTCACGAAATCATGCACCATGGACCCAAAACCAAAAAGTTCACCCCAGAAGTAGGTGAAAAAGAGTCGTCATTTTCCTGTTAAACTTTTATGTCAAAAATACTTTACCCTTCCTTTCATTTATGTTACAGAATCTTGTTTCCTTCAAATTACCATCGCTCTTTCTTCTTCCCTGCTTGTGTATGTGCAAGAAAAGCATCTTCTATGCTTTGGGTTGTAATATATATAGATGAATTAGAGACCTGAGGTGCAACTCATATAGCGACTCTGGCACGGCATTGCAATAATTTGGTAACAATTTCAATACCTTTTTGTATGTTAGCTTGTCTGCTGACATTGTTCATTTGGTTGANGCAATAATTTGGTAACAATTTCAATACCTTTTTGTATGTTAGCTTGTCTGCTGACATTGTTCATTTGGTTGAATCAAGTTATTAAATTATAACCTCTTAACTTTATGTGATCAATGCAGCCACTGAAATCTTCTTCCACATCCGTTGACAAGGGGTTCTTCAACTTGAAACAAGGAGAATATTTACATATACATGTATTAATGTTTTGCCTTTAGATTTTTTACTCTTGATTTTTATTTATTCGTCGACACATCATCACTAAGNACATTGTTCATTTGGTTGAATCAAGTTATTAAATTATAACCTCTTAACTTTATGTGATCAATGCAGCCACTGAAGTCTTCTTCCACATCCGGTGACAAGGGGTTCTTCAACTTGAAACAAGGAGAATATTTACATATACAGGTATTAATGTTTTGCCTTTAGATTTTTTACTCTTGATTTTTATTTATTCGTCGACACATCATCACTAAATATGTTTATTCCTCAACACATTTGACGGATTTGAACTAGGGGACTCTCCCGACATGAAATATACACGTGTTTTGATCAAAAAGTCTATTTTAAAATTTTTTCGGCTCTATGGTCTAACATTCTAAATCTTTTAAGCTTTTTTATTTTCAAAACTTAGCCGAAGGCAAATGGATTGAAAACAAATAGGTTGTGTGAAACTAGGGATAGAACATTAATAATTGACAACAGAGTCAATTGGTTGTGTAGACCCTACGGNTGATCAAAAAGTCTATTTTAAAAATTTTTCGGCTCTATGGTCTAACATTCTAAATCTTTTAAGCTTTTTTATTTTCAAAACTTAGCCGAAGGCAAATGGATTGAAAACAAATAGGTTGTATGAAACTAGGGATAGAACATTAGTAATTGACAACAGAGTCAATTGGTTGTGCGGACCCTACGATGCGGTGAATAATCAAAAACTAGATTTACATGGTTGGATAAAAATGAGCCACCCACCATTCCCAACAAAAAACATTGTAACAGACTTGAAAAAAACCTAGTATCATACACAATTGATGTCTTATCTTGAATCGTCTGTCCAGTGGCAATGAACTTTATTCAACATTTGCTTGAAATTCCGAAGTGCATATGGGATAAAATCATGATACTCATGGGTTATAAANAGACTTGAAAAAAACCTAGTATCATACACAATTGATGTCTTATCTTGAATCGTCTGTGCAGTGGCAATGAACTTTATTCAACATTTGCTTGAAATTTCGAAGTGCATATGGGATAAAATCATGATACTCATGGGTTATAAAAGAAGCCCGACAACGAATATCGAAGAGGAGCTTAGCAAAAGGGATGAACACCCTATGAAAGCCTTTGGATGGGCAGCCAGAGATCATTCCGGTGTCCTCTTTCCATTCAAGTTCTCAAGAAGGGCAATAGGTGATGAAGATGTGAGGTTCAAAGTGTTATATAGTGGGATCTGTCATTCTGACCTTCACTTCATCAAAAACGAATTAGGAGTGTCCCAGTATCCTCTTGTCCCTGGGCACGAAATTGTGGGGGTTGTGACAGAGGTGGGTTCCAATGTACAAAAGTTCATGGTTGGAGACAAAGTTGGTGTAGGTTGCTTGGTTGATGCATGTCACTCGTGTGACAACTGTGCTGACAATCTTGAGAATTATTGTCCTAGACTTGTACTAACCTACAATTCCACCTACTATGATGGAACTATCACATATGGAGGTTTTTCTGATACCATGGTTGCTGATGAACATTTTGTTGTTCTCATGCCTGATAGCCTCCCTCTTGCTGCTAGTGCCCCTCTCCTATGTGCGGGGATTACTGTTTACAGCCCTTTGAAATATTTTGGACTCGATAAGCCTGGTATTCATGTTGGTGTAGTGGGACTGGGAGGGTTAGGCCATGTAGCTGTAAAGTTTGCGAAGGCTTTTGGGGCAAAAGTGACGGTGATCAGTACCTCTTCTCATAAGAAGAACGATGCGATTGATCATCTAGGTGCAGATTCTTTCTTGTTCAGTCGTGACCAAGAGCAGATGAAGGCTGCAATGGGCACAATGGATGGCATCATTGACACCATCCCTGCAATTCACCCTCTTCAACCATTGATTGGACTCTTGAAGTCTCATTCAATATTGGTCTTACTCGGGTTACCAGACAAGCCGCTCGAGTTGCCAGTCTTTCCTTTGCTTTTAGGGAGAAAGATAGTCGCCGGTAGTTATATTGGGAACTTGAAGGAGACACAAGAGATGATCAATTTTGCAGCAAATCACAACATAACAGCAGACATTGAAGTTATTACAATGGACTATGTTAACACTGCCATGAAGCGTCTTGCAAAAGGTGATGTCAAATACCGATTTGTAATCGACGTCGGGAACACTTTGAATGCCGCCTAGAGGTTCCTAAAATGTAATTATTAATTTGAAAAGAAAAAGTGTCATGTGTACATGGAATAAATACGTTGTGATCGTACTTCCAAGTGTGGCCAAGTCCTTGGGNTATTAATTTGAAAAGAAAAAGTGTCATGTGTACATGGAATAAATACGTTGTGATCGTACTTCCAAGTGTGGCCAAGTCCTTGGGCTGTTTGTGTTATGTTCCTGGTCTTATCTTCTTTTTGCATTATAATGATTGATATCTAATCAAATCTGCTTATAACTAGATTACTAAACCTGCTCCTAGTCAACAACAGTGTCTAAATTGGAAGTGATTTTGGAAACTTGGGGTCCCACGGAGACTTGAACATTTTCTGTGGTTGGTCCAAAGCGACAGACTTCTGTCCAATTCCCTGAGGTTGACTAGAAACCTTAAACCTTACTGATAATCCTACTTGCGAAAGATGCAAGGCTTGAAATGATAATACATTCCATATCCTGAGGGACTACCCGAAAGCTGTATTGGTTTGGAATTCTTTCCTCAATAGAAATGATCTCCAACAACATCAATCCTTGGACCTTTATAATTGGCTCATTGAAAATTATAAAACAAGGAAGGATGTTCTTTGGAGAGGAGTTAAATGACCTATTCTTTTTGCCTCTCTGTTATGGAATATTTGGAAAGACAAGAATCAAGAATACTTGGGGAACACATTTAATCCCCCCAAGCCATTGCCAAGATAGCTTGGAGAATGGCTCAGGAATCTTGGGATGCTTTTAATGATCCCCAAACCCAGGGGAGCCCAAACTACCATAATCTTATTGGATGATATTTTCCTCCTGCAGGATGGATGAAGATATATGCGGATGGAAGCTCTAAGGGTAATCCTGGCCCTGCCACGATAGGAGGCCTGCTAATGAATGATCAAAGAGGGTGGCAACTTGGCTTTTATGGCAAGATGAAAGACTCTACCAGCCTGTACGCTGAATTGAGGCCTATTTTTTAAGGTTTCAGGATCATACATACACAGAAGATCAAAAAGGTCATCTTGGAGACTAATTCATTGGAAGCCCTCAAGCTAATCACTACTAGGTTGGAGGAGCTCCACCCCGAAAGGAACATTATTGCCAATTGCAAGAACTTAATGGGACTAACTAATACTCCCATCATTCATACACCGAGAGAAGGAAACTTCTGCGTTGACAAGATGGCAAGCCTGGGAGGGCAACAACAAGATTCTTTTGTATTTTTTGAAATCCCCCCGCCTGTGTTAGGAAATTACCTTTTGAATGACCTTTCTTGTATTTCTTTTGCTAGGGGTTTAGATAACCCCTCTTACTTTTCCTCTGTACCAAAATAAAATTAAAATGATTGACATGGTGTTATATGTGAGATGAACTCGACAATTCTCTAGAAGAGGGAAAAGAGGGGGTTAGAAAGTTGCTTGGAGCCTGGTCAAAAACTCCTACACAAGAGAAAGGGAACATTAGAAACATGGAAAACTAATTTATCAAGCAACACAGTTAAAAACTTCATAGCCAGACACAAAATGCTAGCAGCTGTGCGCGATAATTTTCGCATAATAGATGAAAGGACAAATCTCTCCCTTGGTGAACTCGTGTTCATCTTGAAAGTCGGTGATCCCGGGATAAAGGAAAAATCCAAAATAGCCAAAGGGGTCTAAGGAGTGATGATGAATTATTCTAAGGACAGCTCGATCGACTCTGATGGGTCGTAGGCAGTTCCTAACACACAAAAAACGGGTTAGAAGGGTGCCGGAGTATTTTTCGACATATCTCCTCTGACGATCAAGTTAGTTCTTTGAGAGATGAGAAGAAGAAAGCACTGCATTGTTCTTGGGGATTGATTTTGCATACTTGGGCATTTCATTTTTGGGAGCTATTTATACCTCTAAAGACCTATCATTACTAATAGTCTAGTCAGTAAGTAGTACCCAGACATGGGGTAGTGCGCCTCCTACTTTGCATGTGAAAGACCCCGTTATGAACTGTCCCATCTCCCGTGTATTTAATGCTCTTTCTTTGATATAGAGACTTTAAATGCTCGGACCCCAGAGCATTTAATGCTCCATATTGTCGGCTTCCCAAGTTACTGTGGATGTCCTATCGCTGAGAATTCATTAAATGTTTGCTTGAGATTGTTGTATGTCAACAAGGGTATTTTTGTCTATTTACCCCTCATTTTGGACTTTATGTCACGTGTCTAACTCTGCTTGGTTGAGTGTCTTGTTGGTTCTACTATTTTGACCTTGTTGTGTAGAGCACCCTCTTGATCCCTGGTCTAGTTTAGGCTGATCAGTTGTCAATCAATTAGCTTTTCCAAAAATCAAAGACACATGACAAAATCAGAGTTTCAGTAAATACATTTGGAGCCGAGGACACGTGATTGCCCCGAAGTGGAGGTACCCTCGGAGCCGAGAACACATATCTGTCATAAAACGGGGGCACCTTGGCGCTGAGCAGACGTGCTTGTGGTAGAGCAACAGGTGCCTTTATAGCCGAAGATATGTGTTTTCATTAGAGCAAAGATATGCCCTTGATGCCGAGGACATGTGTCTTTTTCAGAAAAAAAAACCTATCTCGGTGCCGAAGACACATGTCGGTGATCTATTCCCTTATCAGAAGTATCCCATTAGCAGCAAAACCAGGTTAAATTCGAGTGTGTCTAGAAATTAAGGATGGAAACGATTCCATGTATTTAAGAAAAACATTACAACAAATATACCTTTGTGATTCTCAGGCCACAGACAATTCAGTCATTTCCTGTTCCACTATTGTTGGTTCAACTGGATAATACATGTAGTGAAGTTCTCCAATGTCATCACCTGATAGTTTCTTCCATCCTTTCGGTCCCACGTGATAAACTAATGACAAATCCAAAGTCATGTGCAAATCAATCATAGAGGCACGCACGCGCACACAAACACACAACACGAGAGATGAGGGAGGGCAGACCACTAGCAACTCCACCACTGGCTCCATCTCGGAATGTTGCATGACAAATAGCTCATCTAGCGAACTCTGCCGCTTCTTCAACTGACATATCATAACGGTACCTAGCAGATTGACAAATGACAACCAAACAAAAATGTGTAAGTGATGGGACTCTTCAGAAAAAGCCCTATGAAGAAGACACGTGTCCTCGGGTTGTTGGAACAGTGTTTGCTCGGATTTAAGCACCATTGGCACGAGTAACCTCCCCCCGAGGTACCTCACATATAGGATCATGCGTTCGGGGGTATTATACAGACAACACGTGTCCTCGGCCACCCATGTATCTCGGAAACATATCACTCCNATGACATTGTATGCCCAACACACGATCAATCTATTAAAAATTTAACAGTCTATCTATATACGACCTAAAATGACACAAANACGACATCGTATGCCCAACACATGATCAATCTATTAAAAATTTAACAGTCTATCTATATACGACCTAAAATGACACAAATTAAATATTTTAGAGATCAAATTGATAAAATTAATACAATAAAAATTAAACTGACAAAAAATACATACTTTAGGGTCCAAAAATATTATAAATTTAAAGTTGCGGAAACCTTTAAAATTACATAAATCTCCCATTTGGTTTTAAAGAACTTTATTTTGATCCTTATACTACTATAAATTTAATTTTTACCATCTTTTTACTTGGTAAGTTAGAAGAATAGAATTCTAAAAAGTTTTATAACAATCCTTAAAATATAAAATTTGTTTTTTCAAAGAAATTACACTTTGACCTTAAAATCTTCAAAAATTATAATTTAACCCCATAATTTTAGAAACTTTTTTTTGTAAACTGTCCAGGTTACTTCCATACCCTATTATATTATATTTAAAAGGTTATTTCTATATAAGTGATATATAAAAGTATATGTCAAAGGATAGAAAATACAAAAATTAAATGTAGAATCAAGAAATTACGAAATTCGAAATAGGGATTGATCGTTATATTTTATTTTTGATTAAGTGGTAATTACATTGAGATTGTGACAAAGGGTTTGGAATTGGAATTAGGGAACCAAGGTGAATAGTTTGGGGTTGGAATTAACTATTTTTCAATTGTGAATTGTTATTCATGTGAATTTTGAAAATATGTGGGATGATTTTATGTCATTGCTTAAATGTGTTTTGGTGATGAAAGAAAAATTTTGTGTGCCATGTTATATCAATTCCATTCCAAATATCGTATCATATTGTTGTTCTTTTGAAATTATATGAATTTGATATACTGGAAATATTTTTGTAGGGTGAATTGCTTGGGTACTTATCGGTACTCGTGTTAGGTGCACTCAATGTCATGTTTATGGTTGTGAGATGTGATTGTGGCCTGAGGGGCGAGTGAGACAGTGAAAATGCATCGAATGACACCTAGCGTGTTGGTGGAACGGATCGGTAATGAAGTCATGGGTTAGTCTAAAGATTGAACAATTTGTTTTTGAATCACTTATAAAGTTTTATTGTGATAAATGATATTTCTGCGGTTAATTGTTGGATTATCATTCTTTTGATTCCATATATTGTATTTTAAATTACTAACTAGGCCTCCCAAACTCACCCTCGCAATTGCAAATTGAATTAGAAAGTGATGAAAATTGGAGGAGTAAAAAGATGAACTTGTAGTTCAAAGGCGTATGGATTGTTAACTAAGGAATTGATTTCCTAAAGTTGTATCATTTTATACATGAGCAATTCTATTGGGATCTAATTTACTGAGTTAATTTACTGTGACAATTAGTTTCACTGTAAATCCCATTAAACATTAGAATTTGGTGTTGATTCACTGATTCTTATGAAACTATATCATTATGTTAACAAATTAAGTTAAATTTTTAAGTCCAAATAGTATTACTCTTTATACATTGAACCTCAACAAGTTTGTATAAAATGTTTGTTTGGAAGATAAATTTGAGTTATGAAATTTCAATTNACATAATTTACTGTGACAATTAGTTTCACTGTAAATCTCATTAAACATTAGAATTTGATGTTGATTCACTGATTCTTACAAAACTACATCATTATGTCAACAAATTAAGTTAAATTTTTAAGTCCAAATAGTATTACTATTTATACATTGAACCTCAGCAAGTTTGTATAAAATGTTTGTTTGGAAGATAAATTTGAGTTATGAAATTTCAATTTATTTATTTGAGGTCACTTAGCGCTCTAATTTGTATGTGATGGGATCTGGGTGCAATATTGCGTAAGATAATCGATGTACAAAAAAAAACTTAAACGTGAAGATTGAGATAAATTTAGTAATTAGTGAGGTGAGTATTGAATNCTATACTGCGTAAGATAATCGATGTACAAAAAAAAACTTAAACGTGAAGATTGAGATAAATTTAGTAATTAGTGAGGTGAGTATTGAATGAGGTGAATTTAGTTACTAATAGGATGAATATAAAAATAGTGGACTTAGTGTTTTATGATTAGAGTTTAATGAGTTAGGAATATAGATTTGTGGAGTGGAAATAATTCCACCTTATATAATAGATATGTGAGAGAGAAAGAGTTTTAATATGACATGACTTAGAAATTTTGTTTTCAAATCTATTTTTATGAGATTTATATTTCAAATTTTANCAATATTGCGTAAGATAATCGATGTACAAAAAGAAATCTTAAATGTGAAGATTGAGATAAATTTAGTAATTAGTGAGGTGAGTATTGAATGAGGTGAATTTAGTTAGTAATAGGATGAGTATAAAAATAGTGGACTTAGTGTTTTATGATTAGAGTTTAATGGGTTAGGAATATAGATATGTGGAGTGGAAATAATTCCACCTTATATAATAGATATGTGAGAGAGAAAGAGTTCTAATATGACAGGACTTAGAAATTTTGTTTTCAAATCTATTTTTATGAGATTTATATTTCAAATTTTAAATCAGTATTAACTTTCGTATTTGAAAGGGTCTTCCTCAATTTCCAAAAATTCAGTTTGTTAAAATGGGAGTTAAGGTTAGTTTAGACAATTTAATAGAAAGTGTCGTTATAGTCCTAATTTATTTTTGAATGGACCAAAAAAAATCTCCAAAGAATGACCTGCCTCTAAAAATTCCCATTTTTAACGACTATTAAACACGTTAACTCATTTAAGCCAAGAACTCCGTCAACTTAGAGGCATTGACATAATGCCCCTGTGGGCCGTGAGAACCCAAATAGAAACAGATCTTGGGCTGGCCATAAAGACACTCTAACCTTTGGCCTTGACATTATACGACAGCGTTTTGAACACTGCACACACCAATACCAAGTTATGCACTTTCTGAGTCAAAACTCTATCAGCTGTCTTGCCTTTGTCTCTGTAAAGCCCTAAAACATAACAAACCCCTCACTCACACCCATCCATGTTTCTCCCTCTCAACATGAATCCACTGTGAAGTCTCTNTTGGCCTTGACATTATACGACAGCGTTTTGAACACTGCACACACCAATACCAAGTTGTGCACTTTCTGAGTCAAAACTCTATCAGCTGTCTTGCCTTTGTCTCTGTAAAGCCCTAAAACATAACAAACCCCTCACTCACACCCATCCATGTTTCTCCCTCTCAACATGAATCCACTGTGAAGTCTCTACGAAACCCTCCACCAGCAATAGCGAAATCCTCTCTCTTCCTCTCTCCAAAACGCGGACACCTCCTCTGTAATGCCTCCACAAAACCTCCTCGGTAAAGCCTCTGCGAAACCCTCGTCGACGACCCCTGCAAAATTCTCAACCACCGCCTATCCAACTCTCAATAAAGCACACACAACCATTGCTCATCCAACCACATCCAACTAAAAGAAGAGAGAGAGAGAGTAGACCCACTGAAAACGCTCCACCCACTACCCAATCCCCATCATCGCTGCCACAACACACATCAGGATCAGGTATCTCTCTCTCTCTAATCTGGTGGAAATAAAAAACGAATCTCACATTTGGGTTTTAACATTTGTTTTCTGGAGCTTGGGGTTGTTGTTTTTGACCGTTAAGGTCTCAAAGTTGAATTTCTTTTACCATATTTGTTTATCTGTTTATTTTATTTGGTTCAATAACCTCTTTTAATCTGCACTTTCTTCATCTTTCTCTTTTCTTTGGTCATCTGCTGTGTGATTAAACAAAGGTTTTGTTTTAGGATCATATAAAACATTTTATTTTTCCTCTTGTTTTTGGCATTTTCTATTTTCCATTTTTTTTCTTGGTCATGAGGTAGTATTGAAACAAAATCATCCTTTTAGCCAAGACAGCAAACATGTAACTTGGGGTTTATTCATTGCATATTGGATTTATCTAGGTATTACTATTTTTTATTAAATCTACTTTCTCCATGTTGAAGTTTGGGCCTTGATTTTGTTTTTATGTGGTGAAAGACAAAAAATGGTTGTATTTTTCCCTCTACTATTTGTCTAAGGCTTAACATTATGATTTGTTATTTCATTGAATGTGACTTTGCTAATTTGGTCTTTCTTTACATTTTGACAATGGCTTGAATGCCTTGAACAGTTAGTTACATGTGGAGTTCCATATGTGTGACATGGACATTTTAGAAGCAGAATCCAATCAAAGACTATATGCTAGTTTTGGTAGAATTTGATTATGTTCATATTGTCTTGACCTGCTATTTCACATTTTCTCCTTTTGCCAATGGATGGATTGATATTGCACCGGGTCTATGTCTATAAGATACCAAATGCATCATCATTTATCTTTTTATTGCTGCATATATCATTTTTAGAATATACTTCTGTCATTGTGATTAGTAGTCTTTTTCATTTTCATTGATGTTGTTTATTTGTCTGCAGATATTCAACATACGAATGATGGAGCCAAGGGCAGAAATTCGCAGAGCCTGCCATGCGATGAAGAAATATGGCTTCCATCATATGACTGTAAAAGCAATATTGAAGGAACTCTTGCCTGCACATAATTATAATTGGGAGCTTATTGAAAATGATGACTATACAATTCTTTTAGATGCTATGTTTGAGTGGAAAAACCGCAACATCAAGGTGAATATTTGTTTGATTTTACATATTATATTGTTTTCACCACTATATCAATAAAATTAAAAGGTAAGTTTTACCGAACAGCTATAAGGACAACAATGTTGTATGAGACGGAATGTTTGGCAATTAGGAAATAACATAGGGACAAAAATGAGTGTAGCGGAAATGAAAATGCTAAGGTGGATGTGTGGAAAAACTAGGAAGGATAGAATACAAATTGACCGTATTAGAGAAATAGTATGAGTAATTCTAATTGAGGATAAGTTAAAGAGAGAATAGATTAAGTTGGTTTGATCATATTCAATGGAGGCCGATAGAAGTACCAATTTAAAAAGGTGATAGAGTTTCTCTTAATGGTACCAGAAATAGGGATATACTTAAATTAATATTGGACAAAATAATAAGAAAATATATGCAAATATTTAACTTAAATGAACATATATCTCATGATCAAAATGAGTGGGGAAGGCAGACTCATATAGCCGACTCTAAATAATTGGGATACAAGGCTTAGTTTGGTTTGGTTTGTTTTCACAACTGGAGTGTCTGTGTTCGATTGACTATCTTCCTCCTTGTATTATTATTATAAAATTTAACGTAGTCATTTGCCCTACACTTGTTAAAATATTTATTTTTATAAATTTTACTGTAGTCATTTGTCTGACACTTATTAAAATATTTATTTGTAATATTGATAGTATGCATTGTCTGTGCTTGTTTATTCAAACTTAATGCCATTTCCATTTTGGCCATAGAGTAAGGTTGGTGTTTTTACTTTTGCATTGCATGTGTATATTTTTTTACAAGTAAGAAGAGGGGCCATTGGAAAGCACAAATCTTCTTCTGGATCGAGAAGCCACACTTGCACCATACCTGATGTAAGTTCCTACAAATTTTCCATTATGTTCTAGAATTGTTTTTTTCTTTCTTTTTTTCTTGAAGAAAAGATTGTCTTCTTGTTTTTTGTTGTTTTACATACATACAAATCCGAAATTGAAATTGACTTCGATTATGATTTTTCAGAATCTTGAGACAGCTGCCACTGTTCAAGCCGAGCATGAAAAGTATAAACCCAAATTGAAGATCTGAAGTTACTTTTGAAAGCCACAAATGAGAAGTATGAAAGTTCAAAGATTGAGTGGGAACAGAAGGAGCTTCATTTGATGAGTTGTATAAAAAGAGTTGAAGAAGAGAACTTGTTGATGCGAAAAGAAGCTAATAAGCTAGCAAATCTGCTTAAAAAGACTAAGGAGAAAGAAAAGGAAGATGATGATTGACTATAAGACAAATTTCACGTGCGGATAAACAAGCGCTATACTGGTGACTAGTAAAGATGTATATTGGACTCTATTTTACACCTAAATGGATTTTGCTTTCATGTTGGAGATATATTTTTTCTAAATTCCTGCTCTTTAAAATCAATGGAAAAGAGTGACATCTTATAAAATGCATTTAATGACATGGATAAATGGGTGTGTAACAGGTTGTTTGGGGGCACCTCTGTCCCATTTGGTGCAACTCGGGTCATATCTCATCTCATTCAAGATGGATTGGTTTCAAAATAAATTCATTTCATTTTTGACCTGTTTAATAAATGGGTTATAATGAGTTGGATTATAACAAATTAGGTTAAATCTATTAATCCGTAAAATAATTAAAACTCCTATTATAAACGCATTCTTGATCTTAGTCCTACATCCATAGGTAGGAATGAAAAACAAAAACCTCCTTAATGAAATATATTGTAGCGGACAGACACAGGAGCCCCAATGGAATTGGTAATACAGTGAATAATGATAGAGAAGATAGTTTGGGAGGAATTCGTTGAAATAGAGTGAAAGAGATACCTGGGATTCGAGGAGTGTTTTGAGTCAAATTAGGCTAAAAAAATCAATATACAAAAATAGTACCACCTGATCCTCATCCAGAAAAATAACACTTCCCCTTCGCCTTTGTATTGTATCGGACGACTCATACGTATCGTCTTGTATCGGGCGTATTGTATTATGTACCATACAATATGATGCAAACTGATACACTTAAGTAATATATATAATTTTCTTCATGAATCGAAACGTATCACGTTTCATACGATAATAACAACTATAAATGAAACAGTATAACTTCATAGGATTTTTTTTATGTTGTAGGTAATTCTCATATTCACAAACATGTTTATTTTATCGAGCATCTCTTTGTGACAGTGCCCAAATTGGTACAAAAACTTACCAGATAAGAAATTAGGACTGTTATGGTTACGACCGCCATTCATCAGGGCTTCGGTCGCCCATTCCCATATCATTGAATGTTAGAGATTTTATCAAGAACGGCTATGCCTCGGATAATGTATGATCAATAGTAGGTAGGTTGAAGCTAGTAATTCTTAGAGAACTATTTAACTCTAGCACAATGGCAGCATTGCTAGTTAAAGTATTTAAAGATTTATCTTGATACTTCTACTGCAAATGTGTGCTGCGATCAAGCAAAATAGCGCGGAAAGTTAAGTGGTTTCGTATTCCTCACACCACACCCATAGAATTGTCTTGTCTTGGTTAATAGACAATAACGTTGTTTTGCCTGAATTGAAAGTATATTACTGTGCCAGAAAGGATGGTCATCCGATGGCAGAAGGGCTAATTACTCGTGATGGGATCACGTGCAATTGTTGCCAAATAGTTTTTACTCTCAGTAACTTTGAAGCTCATGCTGGCAGCACCAATCACAGGCCTTCAGCGAATATTTTTTTTGGGGATGGCAGGCCTCTCCTGGAGTGCCAAGTTCAATTGAAATGTAACAATAGCATGAGACGCGGAAGGACAAGACCACGTGAGATGAAGGGTTATCAGCATCACAGCACAAATGATAATATATATTCGGTTTGTCACTATGGTGGTGAATTAGTTTTGTGTGATCAGTGTCGATCTTCATTTCATATTTGCCTTGGTTTGAAGGCTGGTTCTTTTTTGTTTGCATGACAAACTTTGTTTCATACTTCGTTTCTTTTTTAATTCCCCCTTTTTCAATGTAGTTGTCATGATAGCCTATGATCCTTTTTCTAACTGCTTTTTGTTCCTTATTTAGGATGTTCCAGTGGGCGACTGGTTCTGCCCCTCATGCTGTTGTGGCATTTGTGGGCAGAGGAGATTCACCAAAGACATTGGGCAATTTACTGATAATAGTGCTCTCAATTGTGATCAGTGTGAGCATCATTGTTTGTCTTCTGAATCTGTTTATTGCTATCTTATTTTATGCACACATGCATGTCATCTAATAAATATACAAATACATCTGCATTTCCATTGATAAGTTCCTAATGTATGGTCAACTTAATGCGGATCACATTGGCTGCCTAAGGACAAAAGGTCTTGCAAACCTGGATTGTTTTCCAAAGGAAAATTGGTTCTGTAACGAAAGATGTGAACAGGTATCTCAGATGAGCCTTTCGTTCTTTAGTAACATTATGACGTTAAAATTTCAAAGGTACTGACTTTTGCTGTTATTGGCATATTGCAAAACTCAAGGTGTTCCTTCAGAAGCATGACTTCTAATCTTCATCCCATTCAAACATCATAACCATTTTGACAACCTTTTTGACTTGCACGAGTCATGTGTTTTTATGAATGGATATGGACTTAACTCTTCCTAAAATGAAAAGGGTGCTTCTTTCCTCTCTTTCATGCCTCTATAGCATTTTTAGTTGTGAGGAACCGAAGCTTTCAGGTAAGGTGAAATTTCTTTGATATGGGTGTATGTTATTATTGCGGGTTCTTTCTTGGGAACCAGGATCGTAAGGTACCTATCATCTATGTGATTTAGGTGATTGACATAACCTTTAGGGATAGCAAACGTGATAATAGTTGAAGATTCATATCCAATTTTAGTCTTTGGTATATATCCTTCAGTAAAATTCTTGAAGACTGACTATTCCTGTCAAATGCAAGTTTTTGGCAAGTTTTACTTTCTGTAAAGTTCAAGAAATGTCAAATATGCATGTCCGAATATATGTTTGTCTGATTTTTCTTGCAAGTGATGTGTAGTAGTGTTATATTGTGAGAAACATAACATTAATCCATCTAATTTTGTTGCATAAGCTTTCAGATGTACCTCTTGACACAATATTGTGTGTGGTTTTTTATATGCGTGTACCATGTTTGCAGATATTTTTGGACCTGCACAGGCTTTTGTTGGGTAAACCAGTTGCATTGGGGTTAGAAAACCTAACTTGGACTTTGATGAAATATGGGAGATCTGATTTTGGTGATTATATGATGCCTCTAATATTGGGGCCTCAATGGAGAACAGCAGCAAATTAAATGTTGCTCTTGGTGTGATGCACGAGCGTTTTGAGCCTTTAAAGGAACCTCGCACCAGGCGGAATCTTGTTGAAGACGTAATTTTTAGTAGATGGTGAGATTTCTCAAAGATCTTTACTGGTGTAGGGACACTACATTGTTTATTTTGCCAAAATCACAGCATAATTTTGGAAGTCGTGCATAAATAAATTTTCCAGCAATATTCTTTACCCATTTTCTGGACTAAGGAAGATAACCTTTGCTCAAGAATTTACACTATTTCTTAGATTCATGGACCCGATTCAATTCAGTTGGATCTTTCATTCACATTTTTTTCCATCAAGAATGTTTTATAAAACTTTTTGACCCCTGCATTTGGAGTATCCCACTTTCACGCAATTCACTGGGTTCAACAAGCAATCGATATTTCACGATTAAGGGTCTTTATATTAGTGGTTCTTATATATCGTATTAACAATCGAAAGATGGTTGAAAGAAAAAATCTCTATTTGAAAGGGCTTCTTCCTATACGTATGAATTCCATTATATGACAACTATGCTATCAGTCTCTATGCTACTGGCTCGTGACTGCATTGTTAACTTGAGTTTTGTGTACTGATGCCTTTCATGATTTTGGTCTTCTTACAGCTAAATTGCACATGGCATAATCTATAATTGTGTTTCTATGTAGCAGGAGCTTGATTGCTTACTCCGTGTTTTATTCTGCTGTGTAGTTGACTTTGTTTATTTCTTGTTCTTTGATTTTAAATTAGGTGAAGTAATATTAGCACCCATCCTGTTTCTTCTTGGTAGCCCATCTTTATTTTGTTTCTGTTTCTTCCATTTTAGTTTCTCAGATATTATTTCTCTTTCATTTTACCATCTGGAGCTATGTTACATGGACTTGGTAAAGTATTGGGTTTGTCAAATTTTCCACTAAATGACATAGGGCCATGCCTGAATGCTCATAGTTTTTATAGTTGTCTTGAAATTCTGTAGGAAAAATGGTGTTTTTATAAAACACGGAAACAAAAAATTTATTATTATTATTATTAAAAATCTTAATTAAAGGGGTAAAATAATAATTAATTATAAATATAAGGGTCAAAAACGTAAATTTTTAAACTATAAATTTATAATATATATATAAGTGTGGAAGACTTTAGTCTTCCATTTTTTCTTCCTCCAGCCGGCTGCCGAGTGAGTGAGAGAGAGAAAATAATTTTTTTTTCTTTATTTTCCTTCTTTCTTCTTCTTTAGATCTACGAAGATTGGGCCGTTTAATTACTTCGGGCTAAGAATTAAAGTTGCTTTACTCGAGAGTTACGCAACTACATCAAATATCGTATTTTTCTCCAAAAGAATATCAAAGACAATAATCTAGGCCTAAAGTTTAGAAAGTTAAATTGGCCTTTCTCGGAGTTCCAATACGTGGGCTCACGCTACAAGAGGTAGAATTTCTTTTATTTAGATTTACTTTCAACCTAAAATATGACATATGAAATGGGTAGGCTATGAGTGTATATCACATGTTAGGTCTTGACTAGTGTAACTAGTGGGTCAAATATATGATTTATAATTAACTTTGTAATTAGAAAAATCCTATTATGATTAACTTGGTGTAAGTTAATGTTAGTGGTTTAAAACATGTTAATTGTACATTAGTATTATTTTATGTTTTAAATGACATATCAAGTTTAATGAAATTATTAGCTTGTTATGTGATTATGGAATAATATATATGTTAAATGATTATTTAGCATATAATTATTGTGGTGGACTTGTGCTTATGTGTTATAGAATTGATAAACATGTTGTCATGTTGAAAATATCATTATATTGTATTCTTTATGTAATGGACATTGTAAATGGTACCAAAGACAATTGCACATTGAAATGTCATTATGCATGTGTTACATTACATTCATGGGCATTAACATGAGTGAGAGTGTGTGCATGGGATGAAATCAATCACCACATAGGTGGTTGATTGTGGGCTCGAAAAAATCGCACCAAGGTCCGACTGAGTCACATAAAAAATTAAATAGATAAACATGTCGGGAATAACAAGAAGGGTTAGATTCTCTCTCGGGTGCAAGACCCGCTTACTTGGTTTATACACTTTTCGGCGGTGAAATTTTAAAAAAGTATAACGGCCAAAACGGAGCCGCAGGTGGGATGTCCTGAGAATCCATTGATGGTTGGTGTCTCATTGGTGTAATACCATAAATCATCTCCCCACAAAGACACAAAAAATAAATTAATTAGTCATTGAGTGTACATAACACTAATGACGGGGCTTGAAATGCCCGGATACATACGCATGACATTGCATGTGTTGTAGAAGCTTAGGATGGGGCTCAGTGTTGATATTGTGTTCGTGAGTCTCATCTCATGTCATGACATGATTTATAACATTTGTTCATAATAAACATATTTGAATGATTGCATGAAATGATTGTTGTATGTGACATTTCATATGCATTTAAGTTTAGAGGTATTCTCTATAAGAGTTACCCTATTGAACGTTGGCTCACCCTTTATGAAAATATTTTTTAGGTATTGCACAAGCGTCCACTGAAGGCGAGCCAATGGGCCCGCTTTGACGACAGAGCCGGTCTGCGGCTCTTTTTTTGACATCGTAATCCCTTGTTTATAATTACTTTTGGCCTTGTATAATTTTTGTAACAAAAATTTGTTTATATTTAAAAGGCATTATAAGGGACTCTTTTGAGACATTTATTCTTTTATGAATGAATGTACGTAATGATGATGATTATGGTAGTATTCGATACTATACAATTGTGAATGGATGCATAGACCCGGTGTGGTCAATATTGTACAGGTTGCATTTTGGGTAGAGCTACTCGTACAAAAGAGACTCTGCCCAAATTTTGTTAAGTTATGGATCTCGACAAATGGGACATAACGATGTGGTATCGAATTACATGGTATTCAGTGGTATTCCGCGAATTGATAGGTGATCAATCGGGTAATTACTGACACAAGGATTTTGGAGTGTCACAGTTTTTATGTTGTATACTGAATTCAGAATAGTTGTTCTACACGTGTGAAACCAACAATGCAATAAAAGCATCATGACAGAGGAATTATATGTATAATTTTCCATGGTTAGCGCTTACCAGAAATCCTCGCTACTGCATGTCCAATTAGACACGTTGAACACGTCCTGATGCACATATTCCTGTGTTGTGCATCCGACAGGGGTGCTTAACACCTTCAGAAGGCCATGTTACATATTTTGTGTGAAGACTTGCTTTTTTCACTCTGCTTTCTTCTACTAAAATTCTTAGGTGGAAAACTCTTTTTTTTTTTTTGGGAAAAAACATCTTGCACATTTAGTCTTCTCATTCAAGGTTTTCATTGCTCTTATCTCTATGCTATTTTTGGACTCTTTCTCTTTCCATTTCTGCACCTACCTTTCCATGTTTACTTTATCTTCCCTTCAAGTCTTCTTTCTATGTCTTCAGATCCCATGCACTATCTTGTCTACTGTTTGTTCACCATGGCATGGACTGTAAACATTACTCATCGCATTACAAGGTGTCCAGATATACAATGCACTTAAGACTTGGTCGATTGTTGAGTGCTGAGTACCATCTCCTTTTCTAACACTATCTTGTCTGCTATTTTTTCCCCATGGCATGGACTGTAAACATTACTTACTGCATTACAAGGTGTCCAGATATACAATGCACTTAAGACGTGATCGATTACTGAGTGCTGAGTACCATCTCCTTTTCTAAGTGATTGGATGAACTTTTCTAGAAATTATGTTGGTTTTGATCAGATATATATGCTGCAAATATTTGTCCATATGTCATTGAGTGGGCGATTTCTGTCGTGTCTACTCCTAGTAACACACTGATGTTTTTCATTGCTTTGATGGTGTTATTAGACCTTTGTGTTCATAAATAGTTCCTTAGAGTATTATCATGTTGCTTAGTTACCAGGCATCAGTTTTTTTTTTGCTGCAAGCCTATGGTAATGGTTTCAAATTTGCAGTTCGGTAGAAAAATGATGAACTCATTACAATGGCTACTGTAAGGTATAATACATTGCAGTTCTAGCTCAGCTATTTTTGTTCTGCTTCTTTTGGCAGATTAGGGTATTGTAAAATGCTTCACTTTCAAAATTTCCTTCTGTTTAAGGGTGTATGGAGAAAGGGTGGCCGAAGTACCCCTTGTTGGTACACGGTTTCAATATCGCCGACTTGGAATGTGCTGCATTTTGTTGAACGAGCTTGAAAAGGTAAGAGTGTTGTGTGTGCTTGTTCTTGTGCAAGCAATAATTAACATTTCCCATATTTGATTGGGTGTGGGTTCAAACTTTTGTTCGTACTTCTTTGGCCGGGGTGTGGGGTAATTGAAAATAACTGTTTTAGTAAATTCAGAATGTCTTGAGCTACTTTTGTTTGCATTTTTGAAAGTGCAAATAATGTCTTGGGAAATGCCAATGTTTGGGACATAAGTTAACTGCCCAATCAAAACTTCCTCTATGTAACCAATGAAAGCCTCAGTTCCACAAGTTTATGTCTCTGTGTGTGTTGGGGTGTGAACCATCTGTCATGGGTTCAGCAGAAAACACGAGATTTTAATGCCAAGGTTCACATGAATCTTCCACAAATGGCAATGGCAAATGTTATCTACTGCAGATGGAGAGGAAAACGAGAAAAATTCTAAAACAACCAGAATACCTCGATGATGCCAATAATTTTGGGGATCTTGCTATTGCCACCCTATTTTAGGGGGTGTTAGAAATCTCATATTTTTGTTGCTAATATGTAAATGTAATTAAGAAGCCTTTTAGTATTTTTGATTTGTGATCCATGATCCTCATCAGTCATCTGAACAACCTAAACTTCCTGTCATCTAATGTTAACTGTCCAAGTTGGAACATAAAATGGAGAGATTGTTCTTTATGATGATCCAAAGAATCCACTTTTTCACTAGTTCTCATTTATTTTGTTCATTCTCCTAGATTGGAGTCGGCCTCCTTTTGCTTTAGTTTCTTTTTCTCTTGAGGGCGGGGGTGGGTGGGAGGAGCTTAACCGAATGGATTCACTTGAGATGAATGTGAGTGAAAAGGGATACTCAAACTAAGAGTAGAGTCCCGTATATATAGCCAAATAATAATAATATAAAGTGACCTAAATATCCTTGTAGTTCAGGCAAAATATAAAAGTCATAGTAAGGGTAAAAAGGGAAAAAAAATCCTAATAAACTAGACTATATTCCAACACTCCCCCTCAAGGTAGGCGCAAAAATATCAACTAAGTCAAGCTTGACAACCGAGTCCCGAAAAATGGATAGAGTGATAGGTTTGGTGAAAACATCGGCAACCTGATCACTGGTCCCCCACAAACAATGGAGTCACAATACCACAACGAACCTTCTCCCGAAGAAAGTGAACATCAATCTCTATATGCTTCGTCCTCTCATGTAATACAGAGTCAAAAACGAGCTGAATAGCAGATCAATTATCACAATATAATGTAGATGAAAAAGTCACTGGAAATCCCAACTCGCCAAGAATCGATCGTAGTCAGATAATCTCACATGTGCCAAGCAAGCGCCAGTGCCCGATACTCTGCCTCTGCTGACGAACGAGAGACAACTGCCTGTTTCTTGCTCTTTCAAAAGATAAGATGAGTCCCTCAAAAAGCACAGAAGCCCGTAGTAGATCGACCATCACATGTTTTTCCATAATCTGAATCTGAATAACAGGCTAGAGTACCAATCTAAGATCCTGATGCATAAAATAATCCAAGTTTAGGACAAGACTTGAGGTACCGAAGAATATGATAAACTGCATCAAGATGAGGCTGACACGGCCTGTNTTTGTTTCTTGCATGAGGTTTCAAAACCTAACAAATGGTATATATCCAATCTTGTTCATTTGATATAGACATTTATACTTTTCTATGTGTCTCTGTGAGATGGAGAACAGTTCATTGATCATTGTAGTTATTATTTGGCCTCCGCGGAATGGTAGCAGGTCTCCTTTGAAGTTTTGCTCATACTTTTTTCTGAACGAAGTGTAAATGTTAATATTGAATTGGTAGGTTTTCTTGTCATTTTTGTTCATGTGTCCTCTGTATTTCAGCCACACCTAACATATGGTGAACTAATGGATGTTTGCCTTTGGGAGCTTTGTGTTATTCCTGTATTAACTATTAAGCTTTACAATTAGATACATTACTGGTACCAGGGAGGCATTATAATTGGTTAATTAGTGAATAATGCAATGTGAAATTCATTGGCAAGGGAAAGTTATGTTTGACTCACTTGGTGATTGACACAAGTGAGAGGGGGTGGTGATCCATCTATTTGTTATATCATCAGAAGATCAGAGTACACTTATGGTTTGCAGAGTCCTCACTATTTTTTTTTTTTCCACATTTGCTTCAGAAACTCAAGGAATTGGGTGTGGGGAGGCTAGTTTTGCCTACTGTTCCTAGCGTGCTGAACACTTGGAACACTTCATTTGGGTATTCAATAATGACAGAGTTTGAGAGATTAAACTTTCTAGACTACACTTTCCTCAATTTCCAGGGTACTGTCATGTGCCCGAAACTCTTAATGGAAATGCCTTCCAGAGAATTAAGCCTATTGAAAGGTATAATTCATGTTCCCCTAGCTACTTTCAGGAATGGCTACTATTCAACGGACATACTCATGTTTATATGTCTTTATGCAGGAACTAAGCCAAAACTATATGATGCTATCAGCGGAAACAATAATGTTGGTTTGCATGGGAACAGTGCTGCTTCCGATGTTTTTCAGGCAGACCTAATTGAAGAGAGTAAAATTCTTGAAAAAGGATGTATGGAGGATGTAAGGATGAAGGAGATTGTTGAGGAAAGAATAATACCAGGAGCAAAAAAATTTCGTTGGTTAAGATAATTAGGAGTACTCCCGCAAAAATGGTAGCCAAGTAATGCCCCCTAGTGAGACAATTGCATGCTTGTGCAATTATACTTTCTCATTATTGAATATTAAAATTACCAGTATAAACTGAATTGCCTTGGCAAAGGGTAAGGGATATAATATTACAATGCTGACAACATAGTGTCCTAAACTGTCTAAACAATTAATTGAAATATGCCATTTTATCAAACAAATGATGAAAAATGCTTGAAGAAAAGTTTTAATAAAACATATAGCATTGGTTAGGAAAAAGAACGTTGTTTCCATGAAGCAAACGTTGACAGTTCATGTCCTGTTTGGTTACTCATAAAAAACTTTAGCAATCTCCCTCTAGTTGGACTTGGTGTTTTCCTTCCTTATTTATAGATCTAACAAAGCCTTAGTTGATGTGCATATTATGTTTACATCATCACATAGGAGGTTAGTTATAGAGGTGGGGAGAAACTTACACTCTATTAAAGCATNACAGATCTAACAAAACCTTAGTTGATGTGCATATTATGTTTACATCATCACATAGGAGGTTAGTTATAGAGGCGGGGAGAAACTTACACTCTATTAAAGCATTTGAATCAGACAAAATGCCTGATTGCAATGATTGGATATCTGAGCGTGAGAATTGCTTNATAGATCTAACAAAGCCTTAGTTGATGTGCATATTATGTTTACATCATCACATAGGAGGTTAGTTATAGAGGTGGGGAGAAACTTACACTCTATTAAAGCATTTGAATCAGACAAAATGCCTGATTGCAATGATTGGATATCTGAGCGTGAGAATTGCTTATGTATACCTCTTGTATGTGGTTGATTACAAACTCCATCATTGTTACTGATGTACCCAAAATTTCATTTATTTCAATAAACATTAGCTAAGACACCGTTATTTTTGGTGGAAAGGGCAATGACACAGCTCCTTTGGTTATTATGGTACCCTCACACTCCTTGGAACAGTTTTTATCTTCATTTGATTTCTCTCATTTGTGTATCTTTTCTCATTGAGATGTTGACTCATTCCANTTGTGAACCCAACAATAAACATTAGCTAAGACACCGTTATTTTTGGTGGAAAGGGCAATGACACAGCTCCTTTGGTTATTATGGTACCCTCACACTCCTTGGAACAATTTTTATCTTCATTTGATTTCTCTCATTTGTGTATCTTTTCTCATTGAGATGTTGACTCATTCCATGGACACAGGCGAACCAACTCACTCCTGTTGAATGCATGCCATGCCCAAGTGAAGTCAGTGTAGGCTGCTTAGTCGAAGCTGATGAACAGAAGGAAGAGGAACACATAGGTAATGGAATGTTTAAATGCTATATCTACTTGTGATAGCTGAAGGTGCTCCTAATAAAGGTGTTTATAAGTTAATAATGTTAATGATCTTGACAATAGGATGAAAATTAGCGACAAGTATCTTTTTGAGCCAGTTGTTACTGGCACCTAGGGGCTTAAATTTTGCCGAATGTAGCATATATTTCTTCCTTGTACATATGGGAGGCAGATGGGAAAATTGGTCTCGGGGTGTTGATTCATGTACCAATTGTATAACTTTGGACCACCAAGTAGGTGGTCTAGTGGAATACCGGCCTTACTTCTCACCTTGAGGTTGGGAGTTTGAGTCTTGGAGTCCCTATTGGAGCTTGGTGGTTGGTTGCTATGCTAACCTAGCTAGGTCTGGTCTCGAGAGATGTTCCAGGCACAGTCAGGGACCTTATGATTCTACCGGTGAGGGCCTATCGAGATGGTTATTAAGCGCTCTTCCTTGCCCCCACCCCTTTTTTTTCTCAACAAAAAAAAATAAAAAATTGTATAGCTTTGGATGCAAATTGGGCTTAGTTTTGTTTCTCTTTTGGCAAAAATGTTGGCACGGAGTATATATCGAAATGGGCCATATTTTTGGAATGCAAAAATTGGATTGTGTTTCTTTATGGAGGTTAATGCATAAGGGTGGGCTTGGTGCAACGATAAATCTCAAGATTTGAAAGGCAGTCATCATATGTATCACCAAAAACAGCAGATATATCTTCAAATCTTATATCTTCAAAACATTGTTGATATATCTTCAAATTTCCTTATCTCAATCTTGACTTTTCAATTCTTATCAATTGTGATTCTTCCTCTAGTGATTGTTTCACTTGTCTTATCCATTATTACTTTAAATCAACTAATTTACCAGCAAAATAAATCAAACAACTAGAAAAAGTATCAAACTAAAAAATTAAGAAATTTAACACATTTAATTATAAATAATATGTAATTAATTAATCATTAAATATAATAAAATAGTAATTTTGATGGTTAATTACCTATTTCTAGTAGCAGCTTGGTGTCCATGTTACAGGACGTGAATTTGGCCAAGGAACGAATTTGTGACTCCCGGGGATATCAAAGAGGTTGACTCTCGAGGTTCAGATGACATTATCAATACCACGATGGAGGAATTTTNCAAATGTAGCATATATTTCTTCCTTGTACATATGGGAGGCAGATGGGAAAATTGGTCTCGGGGTGTTGATTCATGTACCAATTGTATAACTTTGGACCACCAAGTAGGTGGTCTAGTGGAATACCGGCCTTACTTCTCACCTTGAGGTTGGGAGTTTGAGTCTTGGAGTCCCTATTGGAGCTTGGTGGTTGGTTGCTATGCTAACCTAGCTAGGTCTGGTCTCGAGAGGTGTTCCAGGCGCAGTCAGGGACCTTATGATTCCACCGGTGAGGGCCTATCGAGATGGTTATTAGGCGCTCTTCCTTGCCCCCACCCCTTTTTTTTCTCAACAAAAAAAAATAAAAAATTGTATAGCTTTGGATGCAAATTGGGCTTAGTTTTGTTTCTCTTTTGGCAAAAATGTTGGCACGGAGTATATATCGAAATGGGCCATATTTTTGGAATGCAAAAATTGGATTGTGTTTCTTTATGGAGGTTAATGCATAAGGGTGGGCTTGGTGCAACGATAAATCTCAAGATTTGAAAGGCAGTCATCATATGTATCACCAAAAACAGTAGATATATCTTCAAATCTTATATCTTCAAAACATTGCTGATATATCTTCAAATTTCCTTATCTCAATCTTGACTTTTCAATTCTTATCAATTGTGATTCTTCCTCTAGTGATTGTTTCACTTGTCTTATCCATTATTACTTTAAATCAACTAATTTACCTGAAAAATAAATCAAACAACTAGAAAAAGTATCAAACTAAAAAATTAAGAAATTTAACACATTTAATTATAAATAATATGTAATTAATTAATCATTATATATAATAAAATAGTAATTTTGATGGTTAATTACCTATTTCTAGTAACAGCTTGGTGTCCATGTTACAGGATGTGAATTTGGCCAAGGAACGAATTTGTGACTCCCGGGGATATCAGAGAGGTTGACTCTCGAGGTTCAGATGACATTATCAATACCACGATGGAGGAATTTTCCATGATATGCCTTTCTCCTTATCCTTGATTTTGTACTTTCTCTTTTCCTTCATGTTCTTGTTTTTTGAATGCTTATAGGTGGTTGCCGCTTTTCTCTACTTTTTTGTAAGGACAATCAAGCTTGGAGAGGCATCCAGGGATCTGACAAAAGAGAGGCTGCTGAGGAATAGTTGAGACTAGAGAGGCAGACACGAGAGACTACCGAGGAGCNGATGTTCCAGGCACAGTCAGGGACCTTATGATTCTACCGGTGAGGGCCTATCGAGATGGTTATTAAGCGCTCTTCCTTGCCCCCACCCCTTTTTTTTCTCAACAAAAAAAAATAAAAAATTGTATAGCTTTGGATGCAAATTGGGCTTAGTTTTGTTTCTCTTTTGGCAAAAATGTTGGCACGGAGTATATATCGAAATGGGCCATATTTTTGGAATGCAAAAATTGGATTGTGTTTCTTTATGGAGGTTAATGCATAAGGGTGGGCTTGGTGCAACGATAAATCTCAAGATTTGAAAGGCAGTCATCATATGTATCACCAAAAACAGTAGATATATCTTCAAATCTTATATCTTCAAAACATTGTTGATATATCTTCAAATTTCCTTATCTCAATCTTGACTTTTCAATTCTTATCAATTGTGATTCTTCCTCTAGTGATTGTTTCACTTGTCTTATCCATTATTACTTTAAATCAACTAATTTACCAGCAAAATAAATCAAACAACTAGAAAAAGTATCAAACTAAAAAATTAAGAAATTTAACACATTTAATTATAAATAATATGTAATTAATTAATCATTAAATATAATAAAATAGTAATTTTGATGGTTAATTACCTATTTCTAGTAGCAGCTTGGTGTCCATGTTACAGGATGTGAATTTGGCCAAGGAACGAATTTGTGACTCCCGGGGATATCAAAGAGGTTGACTCTCGAGGTTCAGATGACATTATCAATACCACGATGGAGGAATTTTCCATGATATGCCTTTCTCCTTATCCGTGATTTTGTACTTTCTCTTTTCCTTCATGTTCTTGTTTTTTGAATGCTTATAGGTGGTTGCCGCTTTTCTCTACTTTTTTGTAAGGACAATCAAGCTTGGAGAGGCATCCAGGGATCTGACAAAAGAGAGGCTGCTGAGGAATAGTTGAGACTAGAGAGGCAGACACGAGAGACTACCGAGGAGCAATTGAGGATAACTCATAAAAGAGTTGCACCTCTTGAGGCTGAGCTCTGGTATCCCACGAGACGGCCACCCAACTGGAGGCTGACAAAGAGGCTGCTTGAGCTAGAGTAGAGACAGAGCTGTGAACGTCTCGATAGAGGGCCATTAGAGTTGAGGCCGAACTACAGATAGCTCAGAAAAGGGCTGTCATGACAGAGGTTGACCTGCGAATGGCTCATGAAAGAGCCACCAGGGCAGAGGCTCACTCCATTTAGATGAAAAAAAGGAGGGAGGTTGCTGAGAGGGCTATTGCAGGTGCTTTCATTGATGTCTATGAGGAGCGTAGGGGGAAAGTCTCAGTATATTTTTCTACCATTGACTTTTTTGAATTCGTCCCCTATGAGGCACCGAAGACTGATGGTGATGGGGAGAGTTTTGACGAGAGTGAATCAGGGGATAGTGAGTGATATCAAAAGTATGACGACTTTTGTCTTTTTGTCTCTTTNGCTTTGACGAGAGTGAATCAGGGGATAGTGAGTGATATCAAAAGTATGACGACTTTTGTCTTTTTGTCTCTCTTTTTTGTTGTTACGTTATGCTCTAACTTTTGTAAATTGCTTACAAATTTCTATANGCGTTGGCATTTGTCGCATTTTCTTACAAACTCACGGGTGTTTTTGATCATGTTAGGCCAACAGTAGTCTTACCTCACTGTCTTGTGGGCTAGGGCACGCCCTCCTAAGTGGTTTCCACATATTTTCTCGTGGATTTTCCTCATGGCATAATCGTCTTCCTCGGGGGTGAGGTAGCAGAGTAGTGGTAGTGAATAACTTTTCTTGTAAAATGTGTCACATAGGATGACATACCTAAATGCTCTTATTCTCAATTTTTTGGCTTCCACTGGATTCTCTGGGAGAATGTCTTCCTGTAGGTAGGCTCGGATAGGTGTCATCCAATTTACTTCGGAGGATGCACAGTTAACATTGTCCTCCTCAACCTTGAGCCTACTTGGCTCAAACTAGTGGATTGTCAGTGCTAGGCCTATGATTATATTTGTAGATGTGAAATTTGCAAGAGCATCTGCCATGTCGTTCTTCTCCTTGGGCACATGGTAGATTTGGAAGTGGTTAAATTTTTTCAACAAAGATTAGACTATTGTCAGGTATTCTTACATCTTTTCCTCCTTTGTTTCGAAATCTTCTCTTACCTGGTGTTGGGAATCACTATAAGCCATCAGACAGAGGGTTTCCATCTTAATTGCGAGCTTTAAACCTGATATGAGGGCATCATATTTTGCTTGGTTGTTTGATGTCGCGAAATGGAGGGCGACCGTGTACTTGAGTGGGGTGCCATGGGGACTGATCAGCACCAAGCCTATGCTACCGCTCTTGCTAGTGGAATATCCATCTATGTACAATCTCCAGCATTATACCGTGCCAGTGGTGGACGCTTGCTTAGGCATGGTAGGGTACTCACGCAGGAGCATGGCAGGCTGAGGAGCTGAGGACTCTGAAGGAGTAGATGAATGGAAACTGGGCACCTCTAGCCTAGGAGTCTGAACTCTAGGGGCCAGAGGGCAATCTCCAAGGCTCCAGGTTCTCTGGGGATGGTGCCTGGGCTTGCCTCCTGGTGAGTCGAGGCACTGTGTATTAGGCAGGTGNAGCACCAAGCCTATGCTACCGCTCTTGCTAGTGGAATATCCATCTATGTACAATCTCCAGCATGATACCGTGTCAG